TAAAACACTGACAACATCAAATGTTAGCAAGGATGTGGAGCAAGAGCCAACTCTCATTTCATTGCTGGTGGGAATGCAAAATGGTAAACACACTTTGAAAAACAGTTTGGCAGTTTCTTACAAAACTAAACATATTGGGCTTCTTGGTAGTTACTCAGATGAACTGAAAACTTACGTCCACACGAGAACCTGCACACAGCTGTTTACAGCAACTTTATCATAAGTGCCAAAACTTGGAAGTAACCAAGATGTCCTTCAATCCGTGAATGGATAAACTTTGGTATATTCAGACAATAGAACATTATTCAATGCTAAAAAGAATTGAGCTATCAAGCTGTGAAAAGACATGGAGGAACCTTAAAAGCACCTTATTACTAAGTGAAAGAAGCCAATTTGAAAAGGCTACATACTGCACGGCCACATATCACAATCTGGAAAAGGCAAAATTACGGTAACTGTAGTAAGATTAGTGATTGACAGGGGATAGTCAAGGAGGAGGGATAAACTGGCAGGGCACAGAAGATGATACTACAATGACAGATACATGTCAGTATACATTTGTCAAAACCTAGAGAATATACACCACCAAGTGTGAACCCTAATGTAAACTATGAACCCTAATGTAAACCAAGGTCATATTAACATACAGACAAAGTGGACAACTTATAAACTACTGTTTACCTACCACAGGAAAAAAGACAGTAATGACAATTCTCCTCCTACAAAGTTGAAAGAAGGGCTAACATTCATAAATAGAAAGTATATCTTATGCCTAAATTTTTCTGGAGACTAGAAGCACATAATGTGTTAATGGAGGTTCACAGATTGAAACAAATGTATCCTGTGATTTCCAATGAGGATAGTGGAAGTTTCACATGGAGGGGTGGGAGGGGAGGAGGTAAGTGGACACTGTCTGACTGTACTTTCTGCTCAATTTTACAGTGAACCTAAAACTGTTCTTTTAAAAAAGTTTATTTTAAGAAAAGAAAAATAATAGATCTTCCCTGGCTTTTTTTTTCTTTTGAGATGGAGTCTCACTCTGTCACCCAGGCTGGAGTACAGTAGTGCGATCTCAGCTCACTGCAACTTCTGCCTCCCAGGTTCAAGTGATTCTCCTGCCTCAGCCTCCGAGTAGCTGGGATTACAGGCACGTGTCACCATCCACCTAATTTTTGTATTTTTAGTAGAGATGGGGTTTCTCCATGTTGGCCATTGGCCAGGCTGATCTCAAACTCCTGACCTAAGGTGATCTGCCTGCCTTGGCCTCCCAAAGTGCTGGGATTACAGGCATGAGCCATCACGCCTGGCCTTCCCTGGCTTCTTCTACCAGAATAATTAGTTACAAACAAAATACCACTCTTTGGGCAAATCAGTCACCTATGTACAACTCAATTTTTATCTAAAGTGGGATAGTGATGCACTAGCCAAGTCAAACAGCAGGTATGACTTCTAGAAGTAGACAGAAGTTATACTGAAGTAAGCAGATATAAAAAGGCCAAATTGGTATTTTCAGTATGAGGGTATACCTTTGCAGTAGGGACTGTTTATAGGACCACTTTAGGTAGAAGTAACCCCGGCTCACTTTCTGACCACTTGGGACAGCGTACAGCCTTGCACCCAGGTAGCAGGTGACATTCTACTAACTTCAAAATATCCTTTTACAAGTTACAAGGCAATGCAGGTCCTCAGAAATGGCAGTCACAGGAAGTTATTTTTCTTAACTTTGATCCCTCAGTACAGGCAAATCTGTCTTATAAGCAAATTAGTGGTCGAGCATAATAGCTCACACTTGTAATCCCAGCACTTTGGGAGCTGAGGCAGGAGGTTCACTTGAGCACAGGAGTTGGAGACCAGTGTAGCTAAGAGTACATGGCCTCGTCTCTACAAAAAAAATTAAAAACTTAGCTGGGCATGGTGGCATGTGCCTATAGTCTCAGCTACTCAGGAGGCTGAGGCAGGAGGACTGCTTGAGCCCAGGAGATCGAGGCTCCAATGAGCTATGATCCAGCCTGGGTGACAACAAAGCGAGACTCTGTCTTCTAAAAAAAGGGGAAAAAAGGGCAAATTAAATTTACTCCTTGCAAAAACTACAAAATGTAGGTACTACCTTGAGAAGGAAATTTAGTATAGATCACAAATATAAATTTTAATTTAAAGATGTTAGTAAAATTAAAACATAGGTATAGAGTGTGTTAACTTTCTTGAGATAATACTTTCTAGGTTTTAAACTTTAGCAAAAGTCATGCTTGACCTGGTAAACCAAGGTCACATTAACATACAGGCAAACTGGACAAGGTATAAATTACTGTTTACCTACCCCCCCCCCCAAAAAAAAAGACAGTAATGACAATTCTCCTCCTATAAGGTTGAGAGAAGGACTGACATTCCTAAATAGAAAGTATATCTTATGCCTAAAAAAAAAAAAATCTGGAGACTACAAGCTGCAGAAAATTTATCAAGATATTTCAAGTTGCTACCCTTACACCAAACAAAATATTTCCTACTCAAACATTAAGTCACTTATGCAGCCATGTGGGTGTGAGGATAGGAAATCAAGGGATTTTTTGGTCTCTCTGAAACTCCTGTGTCACAACAACGTGAATATTCTAGGGACAGGAAGAGGGTCATGTTTTAGATAAATTTAGATAATCCTAACTCAGGAAGAACTATCCTTGAACTGATGTTTCCACTATCATTTTACTTTGTTCTAGGCCATAATAAAACCATTTTAAGTTACTTTTGAAGTTACAGTCATTCAGGAAAGCTTTACATAATATTTATTCTTCTTAATGTTTACTTTAAAGCATACTTAATGATTCTGATGCAATACTTTTCATTGACTTTTGCATATACTCTTGATGCAAAGGTCAATGAAAATTAAATATAGAAACACAGCAATTATATATCCAGTAGGAAAAAATTTCAGTAATCCACTAGTCATGTAAGTATGTTCTTAAAACTTTACTCCCTTCGAATTATACTCACGTGCTATCAAAACATACAACACCAGGAAGAGAAGTTGTTTAGCCATTTAAACATTCATTTAGAGCTCTTCAACTTCACTCTAAAATTAATCACTAGCTTAACATCACCTTTTAGAGGTTTTAAAACCTGTTGGCATTGTCATTATTTACTATAATTGTTTTTCTTATATTTAGCTATTAGTAGCCTACATATTTTATTTAATGACAAGTTGAGCTTCCCTAATCCAAAAATCTGGAAAAAAAATGCTCTAAAATCCAAAACTTTTTGAGTGCCCGTCTGAAGCCCAAAAGAAACATTCCTTGGAGCATTTCAGACTTCAGATTTTCACATCAGGGATGCTCAACCAAAAGCTATAATGCAAATATTCCAAAATCCAAAAATATCTAAAATCCAAACACTTCTGGTTCCAAGCATTTCAGATAAAGGACACTCAATTTGTACATGGTTATGTCTCAATGAATTGCCTCTGTTATTCCCTACTAATTCTGCTGATGTTTCTTCTCTTTCACAACACTGAAGGGCTGAAAAGACCCACAAGCCCTAATGTTGAAAACAAAAGAATCTTAGAATTGACTCTGGGCTTTCTTCTTCCCACTGAGGAGAAAGTTTCTCTGATTTTTTTTTTTTTTTTTCCTTTAGCGATAAGGTCCTCTGGCGGGACTCAAACTCCTGGGCTCAAGCAATCCTCCCACCTCATCCTACAGAGTAGCTGGGCCTATAGGTACATGCAACCGTGCCAGGTTCTATTTTCTTCTTAAAAAGGAAGAAAAAAAGGAACTCTGGCTATCAATATTGAAAACATATTTAGGGGAAATCTGCTAGGGGTAGAGGAAAAGAAATGGTAATAGAGAAAGCAAGTGCTTCAACTAAAATCTGCCAATTTTGAAGCTAGCACTTTAAAACTGAGAAAATGGATGTATTAAAGAAAGATGTTTTAAACTGGGAAAAGATTAGGTAGATGAGGCAGACTCTATTAGTCATATGATTTCTTTTTTTTTTTTTTTTTTTTGAGACAGAGTCTCACTTTGTCACCCAGGCTAGAGTGCAGTGGTGTGATCTCGGCTCACTGCAACTTTTGCCTTCTGAATTCAAGCGATTCTCCTGCCTCAGTCTCCCGAGTACCTGGGACTACAAATGTGTCACCACGCCCAGCTAATTTTTGCATTTTAAGTAGAGATGGGGTTTCACCATGTTGGCCAGGCTGGTCTCAAACTCCTGACCTCTAGTGATCTGCCAGCCTCAGCCTTCCAAAGTGCTGGGATTACAGGCGTGAGCCACAGCACCCAGCCCATACAATATTTTTTCACTACAAATCTTGGGTATAGGGGTCAAGGTAGCTGGTTAAACGGGTCACTCAATTCTTAGCACTGCGAATTTCTACCATTCCCCTAATGCCACAACGCTGAAGTGTAATTTAATGTGAAACTGTAAAATTCCAGACTGCTTTCCTTAGGCTGGATTTGCCATCTCCCACAAAGCCTGTAACTTGAATTATCACTTAGGTCTTTGGAGCTTTTCTAAGAAAGATAAGGCTTTCAGACATAACCTGAATTCAATTCTCAAGCTAAAATTGAATTGGCTCGGATTCATAGCAAAAATCTTATTTTTTTTAAGTTTCATTTTGAGTATTAGCAGCTATAGGATCTTCAGGGTTATCCTCCTTGAAGTACTTCCTGTGGTCACCCTTCTTTAAAGACCTTAAAGACTAATGTCTTTAAATAAAATACATAATATTAAAGGGTCCATACTGACAGTTAATAAGCTATCAATGTTAGCCAATCGGTGTTGGGGAGAAGTATAGGAAAGCCTTAAGAAAAATATTGCGGAAATTGGGTGTCTTCTGTTTGCCAATACTTCAGATCAATCTCTGCATCAATTTTCTTCCAAACCCACAATTGCATAGAATTAAGGAGGATGTAAAGCCAGAAGAAGCTTAAAGGCAGATTCTGGTTCAGTTACTATGAAATTCTTACATTCTCAAATATACTTCTTTACATTTTTATCTAAAATTTTAGATAAAACATGCACAGAGCAAATTTCGATTGTATCTTATAAATGATAACCATATTCAGGATACTGGTTATACCTGAGGACACATCTCCATGAAAGTTAAGCATATACAGGTAAAGCAACACTTCTAAAGAACAATGTTTATCTTTTAATGTGTCCTGGTAGAGTTACAGCAAAAAGTCCAAGTCTAGAAATGACAACCTGACACAAAATCCCATAATCAATGAAATGATAATATTAAACTTACATTTCAACATATCTTCCCTATTAGTACTAATAGATCAACCAATTAATTTTTTTTTTCTGACAGGATCTCACTTTGTTACCCAGGCTAGAGGGTTACCATAGCTCACTGCAGCCTCAACCTCCTGGGCTCACTTAAGCAATCCTCTCACTTCGGCCTCCTGAGTAGCTGGGCCTACAGGCAGGTACCAGCACGCCCAGCAAGTTATTCTTATTTTTTGTGAAGACAGAGTCTTGCAGTATTGCCCAAGCTGGTCCTGGCCTCAAGCAATCCTCCCATCTAGGCCTCCCGAAGTGCGAGGACTACAGGCATGAGCCACTGTGCCAAGCAACACTTGTAGTTTTTAAGTGAAAATGATCCTGTAAATATATATATTAATAAAATCTAGAAGGCTATATAAATCAAAGTGTTAAATAGTGGTTATTTCTGTCTCGAGGTTTTTTTCTTTTTTTACATTTATCTTCTAATTATTCTGCAATCAGCATATGTAATAAAATTCTTAACAAATTTTAATTATTAATGAAGAAGACAAAAATGTTAAGGATCTCAGTCTTTTGTTTGGGAACATAATGGTCTTGCTTTAAATCACTAATTTTGCCTTATAAAAATATGTTTAATATGTATCCTAAACAAATATAGACAGAAATGCTGCATCTAGAAGGGACATAATCTGTTAGTAAATTGTATGTAACTTTTCTCAGATTTTTGTCCCTAGATGTGTAATATTGGGTTACATTATTTTCCAAACCCAACAGAAACACATTAATCAAGAATTAAGGAAAGTCAGTTTCAGCTCAACAAGCTTCATGGCTACTGGGAAAATACTTTTACACAAATTTCAAGGCAAACATCATTATCACTTAAAGCAAAAAACATTTAGCTAAAACACAAATTTGTATGTTTTTTTACATATATGGTTTTCCTAAAAGCATGTCTGACTCTGCATTTTAAAATGTATTTAAAATACTGATGAAAGTATACAGTCAAATTAAAAGCTGAAACTTAAAAATATATGCTTATTCAGCTCACTTAGACCTCACCTTTCTCTATTATTGTTTGGAATGTAAATATAGAAAGCAGGATTCTTAGTTTTTCCAGTCACGAAGATAAGTTCTCTCAGGTATGTTTAACAAATGTGCTCAAAAGGAAGCCAATTAAACACCAAAATAAATTTTTAGTACAAGCTAAATTTCTACTTAAGTAACTTCAGATGAATGTACATGACTTCATAACTTTCTCTTAAAATTCATCTACAAATGCTTCTTTCTTGAACAATTCACTCTTGATCCTGAAAATGTAGTATGGTTTAGGAAGCTAAATGCCAGACAGAACTGGCTCTAAACTGTTTTATAAAAAAATTTTTCTTAAAAGATCCATGAATACATTTTTTACAAATATTAAATTCAGGCAGATCTTTCACTTTATTCTTCACACATCACTCACCGAAAAGTTGAGCCTCTGAGTAACCTACTGTGGTAACTAGCTAAATCAGTTACTTTAAATGTTTGCAAATACCAACTCAAAGGGAATGCGGAATTAATGGAGTGATTTTGCTTTTGCGAAGCAATTTCTAGAACACAATAGTAAAAAGCAGGACTAGGTAAAGAAAATGTAGTACATGTACACAACGGACTACTATATAGCCAAAAAAAAAAAAAAGAATGACGTCATGTCCTCTGCAGGAACATGGATGGAGCTGGAGGGCTTAGTCAACTAACACAGGAACAGAAAACCAAATACTGCATGTTCTCACGTATAAGTGGGAGCTAAATAATGAGAACCAAAGGGCACAAATACGGGAACAGCAGACATTGGGCCTACATGAGGGAGGAGGGTGGGAGGGGGGAGAGCACCAGAAAAATAACAATCGGTTACCATGCTTGGTACCTGGGTGACAAAATAATCCTGTGTCCCAAACCCCCATGACACAAGTTTACCTATAAAACAAACCTGTAAATGTACCCTTGAACCTAAAATAAAGGCTTAAAAAGAAAGAAAGAAAAAAAACAACAACAAAAAGCAGGGCTTCACAGAAGAAATTATTTTACAATAGCTCACAGCATTGTACTACTTTGTGGCCTTTTAATGATAAATGACTTATATTTGTAAATCATTATTACTAATTTCTAAAAAGCACTTTAGTTCTTGATGAACCAAAAAGCTTCCATTTTACATTTTCTACAAAATTACTTTAATAGAAATATGAATACATTATGAATATGAAGTCACTAGACCTCTCTATGAAATGGAACAATTTTGCTCCATATACCACACAGGTTGACATAACCTAGGAAGAAAGTATTCTACAAGAACAGTTACTATCCAGAGAAGTGACCACAACAACCCAGTTTCCTATATGACTCATCATAGGCACCTTCTGGGTAATGAAAAAGCTAGTAATAGGAAAAGATGCAATTTGTAGGAGGGAGGAAGGTAAAGAATAAGGTGAGGGGATATCCACAAAACAATCCAAGGCAAGTTTATTTACAGTCATAATATCTTCCTGAACATCAGCTGGCACTGATTATCCAGAGGAGTTCCAACTGGAGAGTATTTCTTTCATCATCTCTATCTTATATGTAAGGGACTCCAAGTTCAAAGAAAGCTCAAAGAAACAACCAACTGCAAAAGAATTAACTTTGCACATCATCACCACAGTATCTGACTAGTGCATTTGGTTTGAATAGAAATCCTGCAATGAATGGATTACTTCATAGAAACCCAATTTCAAAGTCTGCTTATTATTGCCCATCCTAAAGCTTCAATCCATGGTTTGGTCTGAAGTTTGCACCACCCCCCAACAAAGTTCTGTTTACCAGAAGCCCCTGCCACTCAACTTATATAACTCAAACTGTATCCCAAATAACACTTTGAAAAGCAATGGTTTTTCTCAAGAATTTTATATGCAAATACAGATAAAGCAGAAGAGATAAACACAGCATAACAGTACAATATTTATTTACCATCTTACCATCTCCAGCAGCAAAGCTTTAGGACCAGGAAACTCTCTTTTTACAAAGCAATCTCCTTCCCACCCCCAATTAGTTGTTTACAAATACAAAGTACACAGGACATCTGCTTTGTATGAACAAATCTTAAAACATACATATAGATATACCCCATTCTGTAAAGCACTTTATTCAGTTAAGAAGGCTAGTCCCACCAAACCTATTAAAAAAGATTTTCCTATATTCTCTTTTGAGTAAACTGCCAACATCTCTCTCTACAAAAATCATTTTAGGAAAATGACTTCCATCCTCCTTCAGTACAGGACCAAAAAATAATAGTAACAATGCAACTTTGGAACTTAAGAGAATTTTAAAATATACAGCCAGGCGTGGTGGCTCACACCCATAATCCCAGCACTTTGGGAGGCCAAGGTGGGTGGATCACCTGAGGTCAGGAGTTCGAGACCAGCCTAGCCAACATGGTGAAATCTTATATCTACTAAAAATACAAAAATTAGTTGAGCATGGTGGCGGGCGCCTGCAATCCCAGCTACTCGGGAGGCTGAGGCAAGAGAATCGCTTGAACCTGGGAGGCAGAGGTTGCAGTGAGCCGAGATTGCACCACTAGCTCTAGCCTCGGCAACAGAGTGAGACTCAGTCTCAAAAAGAAAAAAAAAAAAACAAAACCACACAATAACTCTGAATATGATGTGTGACAAACCAAAAGGGAGTTACAGATTTTTAACCCCGCGTGCCACTGTTTCGCCTCTGGCATAGAAGGGAAAAAAAAAAAAAAAAAGATGAACTGTAAAGAAAATGAAAGTAAAAGTGGGAATGGGGCCTGGTACGGTGGCTCACGCCTGTAATCCCAGTACTTCGGGAGGCCAAAGTGGGCAGATCACTTGAGGTCCAGAGTTTGAGACCAGCCTGGCCAACGTGGCAAAACTCCATCTCTACAAAAAATACAAAAAATTAGCCAGGCATGGTGGCACGTGCCTGTAATCCTAGCTACTTGGGAGGCTGAGGCAGGAGAATCACTTGAACCTGGGAGGTGGAGGTTGCAGTAAACCAAGATGACCCCACTGTACTCCAGCTTGGGAGCCAGAGCAAGACTGTCTCAAAAACAAAAAAAGGAAAAGAAGGAAAAAAAAAAAGAAGCTAAAAGTGGCCAACAGCAAGGAAAAAAACTTAAACACGAAGTTGACAAAATGTGTTGGAGCTGCTGGAGATATTACTGTCACAAGGTCTACAACCCAATTTCCTATCTGAATCACCTAGAGAGGGTTCTGGTGATAGGAACCCACTTCCTCCTTCAATACAACACCTCCAAATGCCAATGAGGCAATATTTTTGTAAGTATCTTTATTTTCCCCAAGTCCACCTAGAAATCATCTGTAAGTCAAAACACAAGGAAATTAACCACTTTTAGCTACCCTGAGGACACCTTTCCACAGGTGACCCTGAAGTATGCAACCATTTAACTGTGAAGGGATACCACATTCCACTTCAGGGGCATTACCCTGTTCATCCTCAGAGTTGTTCTCTACCAGTGCCTCAGTTCTCTCCGATTGCTTGAGCTGCCCCAGAGCCAAAGGTGCACTGCTGAAAGCCCAGCTTGGGCTCAGTTCCGGGAAAGAATTGTTCTAGATGTACATAATGGACTACGGTACAAACCAACTCCTAGACAGACAACTCCTACAACCTTACAAGTGATGGCTACACAAACTTAGCACACTTTGAATATGTAGGAACCAGTATATATTCACGGATAATTTATCAACTTCTTTTAGTTTACTCTCCTCTTCTGTTTCCCCTAAAGACTATTTTTCATAATTCTGAAACCAGACACACTCCATTATGTTACCCACACTGTTGCACTCTCCTGCTCCTCCACCTGAATGCCTGGCTCCTGTTTCTCCACCAGGCCAACTAACTCTTGCCTAATTCTCCTCCAAAACTCAGCTCACACACTTGGTAAGAAAAGCTTTCCTCATCCCTCTATATGGCTTTTTTTGTTCCATCACCACAGGCATTCTTCCAAAAAGGACATCTGCTCTTATACTTTATTGGTATTTACTTCTCTTGAGAATATGCCATCTCTTATTAACCCTCAGTATTCTCAGACCTTTCTTAGCACCTGCCTGCACATAGCAGGTACTGAAAAAGATGTCTGACAAACTAAAAGACTGTTTTCAACACAGATATAAAATAACAAAATACCATCTATCAAAAATTGTATACACATACATACACACTCTAGCTCTTCATTCTACATTCTCTTATTATTTTCTTATTGTTTATTATGAGCATTTCTTAGCTTGTACTTGGGAAAAGAGACTTTTACTTTAAATATGTCTTCTAATGACTTAGTACACTGTTAGGCTTGTAAGATAGTCTTAAAAAATCATAAAAGGGGGAACATGATTACATGGCATGAAATGAATATTTA